TACCCCCGGTACATCCTGCCCCTCGCCTTCGGCAAGTACTTCGCCTCCGTCTCCGCGCACGTCTCGCTCTGGAGGGTCCCGGTCTCCTACGCGCACACAGGTGAGGCCCCGGGGGGTGCCGAGAGGGAGGATGCCTGGTTCGGGGTCCTTGTGCCCGGGGGGATGACCCAGTGCTGGTTGTGCCCGTACAGGTGCCCGGTGGGATGTCTCGGGGCCTATTGTTTGCTTGTACTAGTGCCTAGTGCAGTGACCTGGAGCTCGGTGTGTGCTTGTATGGGTGCCCGCTGCCGTGTCCCAGTTCTCCCTGTGTGCTTATACTGGTGCAGTGACCCGAAGCCCATTGTGTGCTTGTATAGGTGCCTGGCACGGTGTCCTGTGCCCCCCCCAGCGTGTGCCCCTGTGTGTGCCCAGCACAGTGCCAAAGAGGGGTGGCCCAACGTGGGTTGAGGTTATGGTTTTGGTGGGACCAGAGCTGAGCCCCTCTTCCATCCCCATTGCTCACCCTGCGCTGCTGGTGGTTAATGGAGTTGGCCCAAGCTTCACATCCCCACTGAACTTTTCTTTCCGTTCTCAGTAAAAGCGACGATGCCAATATGGGTGGTTCTTCTTTCGCGGATCATAATGAAGGAAAAGCAGACGACAAAGGTGCGGACAGGTTTGCTGAGGTTTCTTCTCTTGGTAGTGGTTGTGGTGTGCTCTGCTAGCTGGGATCAGGGGAGCTCAAGCTTTGGTGAACTGGGTGAATTTTGTAATTGAAATTATGTTGATTTTACAAGTTCCTGTTGTTTTTACTGCAGTCATAAGGAAAACATGTCTAAATGTTGAGCAAGGTGATACTGGAGTTGTTACAGTGAATATTTTAGTCACTTAATTTCCTCAAATTACAACAGTATAAAAGTTGATCCCTGGTTCTTTTGCTTTGCTTTTCCTTCTCTTTTCCTCCTCAGATTGGCTGTATGTATAAACTCAGTTGCAGTAAGCCTCGAGGATATAAGCTGTTCCTCTCTGTTCCCCTTCCAGGTGTACTTGTCTCTGATCCCCATAATAACCGGTGTCCTCTTGGCCACTGTCACAGAACTTTCCTTTGACATGTGGGGACTCATCAGTGCTCTTGCTGCTACTCTGTGTTTTTCACTTCAGAACATCTTCTCGAAGAAGGTAATAGTTTTGCTGTTCGTAACATTGGTCAGTAGCATCATCCTTTAGCAGGATAGTGTATATTTTCCAGCACATATCTATTTATTATTTTTTAAGTTGACTTTATAGCCAAAGGAGCCCAGAGTAACGGTTGGCTATTTTGTACGCCTGTTCTCTACAGCTTTTACTACCTGTCAAAGTTGTTACACGGAAAGTTGGGCAGAACTTGGAGTTTATACTGAGCCTTTTCTTTATTCCTTGGTATGGATTTTTTTTCTCTGCTGACAGTTTGATAGTGCTTAAATAGAAGCATTCATTTGAAAGCTTTTAATGTATCTTGCTGTATGAAATCCTTTCTCTGTAGTGGATCAATCAGTGTCAACACTTGGCACTCTATATCTTAGAAACAAAGTTAAAATGTGCATCTTGAATCTATTTCATTACAAAATGATTTCTTGTTTGTAGAGCATTTTAAATCTACAACTGTCTTATTAATACTAAGAGTCACCATTCAAGCAACCATTGTTTTTCAAATGAACGTCTGTTTTCCTTTGGTCATCCTTATAGGAAATTCATACTATAACATTAGTTATTTACTTTTGTAATTTATTTGTCATCTAAAACGTTTACTGTTACACAGCTCCTGAATCTCCATTGATAACATGGGCAGTAGCTGAAGAAATGCTGTTTAATGGTGTTTTTTGTCAGGTGTTAAGAGATTCCCGAATACATCATCTTCGGTTGTTGAACATACTTGGGTGCCATGCTGTGTTCTTCATGATCCCCACGTGGGTTTTGGTAGATCTTTCTTCCTTCTTAGTAGAGAACGACTTGGTAAGTGTTGTGAAACTGTTCGCTGTTAAGAAAGAAGGTGGGGGAACACCAACAAACACACACCACCACCCATACTCAAAAGTGCACTTCAGCGTTTCAGTGTAGTTTCTCAGCAGCGTGGAAGGAACTGTTGTGAAATACCTGCAAATTGTTTCACAGAACAATATTAAAAAGCGAGCACAGTGCTTATTGTGGGAATTCATGTCAGGGTTATGAGAGGTAGTTTATGTGACAGTGTAAATCTCAGGAATTAGTAGCTGGAGACAGGAACAAATGCATTTAGAACATGCAATACGAGTACATAGAGATGTTTTGTCAGAGTTGCGTCACGTAACCTATCTGTGAGCCTCTTTAGCGTTAGGCTGTAGATGTTCTTCCCCTCACAGGCAGGTAAGAAGTGACTCCAGTTGCATTTGTGTTTGTCTTTCCTCTGAAACCTGAGGTGGTTTTTTTTCTTGTAATGTTTTTCTTTATAACAGAGCACAATGTCTCATTGGTCCTGGACCTTGATGCTGCTTATAATCAGCGGATTCTGTAATTTTGCCCAGAATGTCATTGCCTTCAGTATCCTTAACCTGATCAGCCCGCTAAGTTACTCTGTCGCAAATGCCACAAAAAGGATCATGGTCATCACAGTGTCCCTGATAATGCTTCGCAATCCTGTTACGAGCACCAATGTCCTTGGAATGATGACAGCTATCTTAGGGGTCTTCTTATATAACAAGGTATGGGGTTGGTTGGTTGGTTTGTTTGTTTGTTTATTCAGGAAACTCACTTGACACAGTCCAGGAGCTTTGAATGATTTTTTCGTACAACAAGTTAATGGCTGGCAGAACAAAAATGTAGAATGCACGGCACGAAACTTCATTGCAGAGGAGGTCCGTGTGTCACCGAAGCCAAGTACTCAGGTGCTTGGGTCAGGCCAGCTGTTAGGTCTCTAATGAACTTAAGTTTTGCTATTAATATGTTCTTGAAAACTGAAATTGGGAAGTAACTCATTCAAATCTCTTGAGCAAAGGAGCAGCTTACTGATTTGGCACATGAGAGAAACAAGGGTTTTATTAGGAGTCACTAGTGTGTTAAAACTCAACAGGCATAATAGTAATGTAATTGTAAAACCATGTGGGTTTTTTTCTGGGTATGTGAATATGCTTGTGGTATCTAAGAAAAACATTCTTTCTTTCCTAGACAAAATATGATGCAAACCAGGAAGCAAAGAAGCAGCTACTTCCAGTTACAACTGGAGATCTGGTCAATTTGGACCGGCATCGAAACACTCCTGAGAAGTCTCAGAACGGACTTACAGCATTTGCACAACACGGAGACTATCAGTATGGCCGAACCAATATCTTAACAGACCACTTCCAGTATAATCGGCAAAACTATCCAACTACCTACAACTTAAATCGTTTTGATATATAGAATCCTGGCAAACAGGTATAGACTGTGATATCAAAGTGTCCCCAACATTCTCAGCAACTTTTAGTACATCCATGAATGTAAAGCCATTTTCCTGTACAGGTTTTGCAGAAGGGAAGATGCATGTGTAGTGAAAGCGGTACAGACCTTCAACTTCTGCTGAGTGGACCTCAAGACGTGAAACAGCGAGATCTGACGCTGGAACTAAGTGCGCAGTGTAGCTTTGTACTGAGGTGCTGGTGAAATGCACGTACAAAACTCCAGAGTAAAATACCTGTTGTTGCTACTCCTTTTCAGAGCCTGTCAACTGATTGGTTTTTTTGGCAGCTAAATTCTGGCCGGTATTTTGTTTCCATGCTGGTAACGTCACCTTTAATTTCTTCTCTGGTGTGTTTTAATGATATTGGGTGAAACTTTCAGAAAGAAGTGAAACTGAGGCATAGTTCTGGCTCTCAGGGTTTGTCTGTTTGAGGAGGATTGACTTTTGTCTATCAGCTGCAGATAGATAGACCTGAATTCATCTTGAGCAGCATTGAAACTTCATGTGGATACAAATTACTTCTGTGCCTATGCCTGCAGTTTTTGATGGCAAACCAGAAGTGTTTCTGAAAAAGCAGGCAGTAGAAAGGTTGATCTTTTCAAGGAGCATACTTCAGGCCTAGAGAAAGAGGGTTCTCTAAAGTCACTATTGTCCCAGTCACTGTGGATAACAAACAGAGCTTAAGATCATAATTCTTTTCTGAAAAATGTAGTCCTGTAAGTTCAGACATTGCTCTTCCTTGGCAATACAGAAAACACCTTCACAAATAAAGTGTTTGGAATAATACTTTTTTTTTCACTTGCTTCTTACAAAACTCTTTTTGTTTCTTTAGAAATTGAAAGGTTTAAGGTGTTTTCTTCTCAGTTTTATGCATAAATTATGCTCTCTTATATGATTCATATATTATGAATGCATTCATTTGAATAATCATCATTCTCAATAGATTCTTATGTCTATCTTTTTAGCCTCTGATGTTTTTAAAGTTTCTTAATTACTGCTGTTGGAGTTGCTGCGTGCATTTAGCCTGACTTCTGCTTTCCACTGAAAGAAGTTACATTTTGTATCGTGCTGTGTTCCTGCAGCTCCCCTAGCTTGAAAAGTAAATTGTTAAGAAAAAAGTACTTGAATCAACAGTAAACAGATAATGTCTGGTTAAGAAGAACTGATTCGGTTACTGTAAATGAATGTACTTAATTCTAGACAAGTTGACTGTTGTGTGTCAGATACTGCACTTGTGCGTGAAAGGAAGAAACCAGTTGAACTTGGGGTTCACTGAATCGGGTTGTTATTGTTACGACTTCAGCAAAAGAGGATTTTAGGGGGCTTCTTTCCTTAGCAGAAAAGCTGTTGTACAGTGAGATTTTTGGTAGCGTAAGTACTATGTTTTTACTAGAGAGAGAATAAATACCAGTGACAAAATTTAGGGTGTGGTACACAACACTCCACTTATTTATTGCTTTGAAAATGACCATTTCCATGATGTGAGATGATGATTTGGCTCCTTTCGGGATAATAAAGAATTTATTTTGAAGTGCAGAGTTGACCTGATCTTATTCTTTTGGCTGACTATGGAGGTCGCTGTGCAGACTGCCTTCCACCATACAGTCCAAAAGAGGAAATGGTCCTTTTGAAACTTCAGAGCTGGGTTAAATTTGCTGCTGATGTTTGTAGGCAGAACTTCTGTGACTTGACTGGTGTTGAATCTGTTTGTGCTAGCTTAGGACTTGGGCTGTTAGTTTAGAAAATCTACATAAATTACTCTCTAACCCTGGGTAACAAGAACAAGTTAGTGAGGACAACATTCTCTCAGGTGAAATTTCTTTCACTTGTTCCAGTATTAATTTATGTGTAATTATTTCTTTTTAATATGGGAAACGGCAAAATGTGTATTTCTAAGGCTCACTTCCCTATATTTAAGTGCTTTTACATACATGTAAAAAGGATTGTGTGGACTCTGGATTGGGAGTAGGTTCTGGCTCTGCAAAAACTACTTTGAGGATGAGACATTTAGGCTGAGATTTTTAAGAAGGGCTGAAGTTCTCTGCTTTCAAAGGGAGCTAGCTGTAAACTGACTTCACAAATGCTCAATTCTGTTCTTTGTGCCTCAGTTTCCCATTTGGAAAATGGAGATGATTCTTCCTTATGGGCACACCCCGAGTTAATTCGTATGTCTTCTGGTATGTCTGCCGCTGTAGCATCTTCATACAGCTTGAACTGTTACTTGGAATAAAGCTCCGTGTGCTTTATTCACAGATCAGAGGCTTTGTTAAATAGATTTAGATGGTTTCCTTTTGAAGAACAGAACAGGTCTTTTTTGCAAGTCTCTTCAGAGAAAGCTTGCGCTGCACACTTACTGTGGCAGGTCTTTAGCTCAGCTTTTTCTGTCAAGAGTCTGGTAGCAGGTGAGGGCTTTGTGTTGAAAACGCCTTGGCCCAAACTGCAGCCTGGGCTCGTGGCCTCACTGCGTCTGTGAAACAAAACTACTGCGCTTGCAGAGCAAAAAGGGTTTGACTGAAAATGAAGATATCACCCATCTGGGGCCTAGAGTGTGAATCTCTGGCTGCTTCCCTGAGGATGGCCTGACAGCGTTCATGCTCTTCTAGTTCAGGTCTGTGGTCAAGAGGGACAATTTTGTATGGTAGAACATATCATTATAACAGCTAAGTGAATTGGTTACAAGAGGTGGTTTTGCTGAGTACCTGAATCCAAGTCCTTAAGCAATATTGCCCACGTTCAGGTAAAGGAAGTTTCTGATACTGTTGTAATATATATTTTAATCTTGGACCGCTGCAAGATTTTGTTTGGCAAGGTGAAACGTTTGTTTTAACATGATTTGTAAATTAATGACGTATTTAACTATGTACATAGGTCTGTAGAAAGTATGGAAACACTGGAATAAAAAGGGCATATCTAGACAATCGTGTATAATGACCCCATTATTAAATCCAAGTGAAGGGGGTTGGTTTGGGTTTTTCCCTTGCAGGAAGCTTTGGGAGTGCCCTGCATTAGTAGTAGTGGCCACTGGCGAGAAATAGGATTAATGTTTTGCTGTGTGGGTGTGCTGCGTTACCGGATGGTTACGTAGGCTGAAACCAGGATGATGCAGATGCCCTGGCTACCGTTAAGACACCACTGGCTGCTATCCGTAGAAATGTTTTGATTGCCGTTATGCATTTCTAACATACATGTAAATACATCACAAAACCGGGAAATTCTTCCCTAAAGAGTCCTGAATAGTTCTAGAAATACCCGTGTGAAAGAAACCAATCTCTCCCCACTACATGTGGGTTTTCTGTTGATAGCTCCGTGGAGTATTTGGTGCTCTTTGAAGATCTCTTGAAAATATTTTCCTTGCAGAGTCAATTTTAGTACCCAGTAGCGATTAGAGCATCTTTATCATCTGATAAAACGCGTGTGTTTTAAAAATCCCTGAATGCTAAATAAAATCGAGGCAATACGTAGGCTTTGTAGGTGTACAGTGATTTGTAGAAGTAGTGTTGGTAATCTGGGGTCAGCTCGTGATGATTCCTGAAGCTCAAGACCTTTTATTTCTCCTTTGTGTTCTAAGCCCCACTTTTCTGATGTAGCATTTTGCAGCAGAAGAAACTTCTGCCACGTAGCTATTTGTGAAAAAGGTGCAATATAAATAAAGGGAGAGCTTTGTTTTTCTAAGGCTTCTATTTCTGAACCATGTTGTAAGCTGTTAAAAATAATTCTGGAATATCTTTGTGATGATGGTACAGGCTTGGTAAAACAAACTTGTTAATCCCGAGATGACAGGTGTGTGATACAGTCGCAAGCGCAAAATGGCAGTTACCACCCATCTTTTAATTTTTCTTTTTTTAATCTTTTATGTTGGTACTCTGTAAGTTGATAATGTTGAAAAATTGGTAAGTTGGTAATGGTTTGGAAAAGAAAAAATGCACTCCTTACAGTATGAAATCTGGCACTTAAGCAGATGGACGTTTTTGTATTGTTTTCCTGTTTTCATTTCAACTCTGTTGTTCTGTGAAGTCCTGGGTACTCAGCTGGATTGCCTGCGCTGCACCCCTCTATCCTCGTAATGGCTGCAGAAGGCTGGGATCCTTTTTGGGATGATGGGAAGAAGCTGCCTTGGTGACTTCCAGATACTGGGACTCTTCCCTGTCTAAAATAAATCAGGTGTTCAGGTGGGTTTTGGCAGACACCTCTGTGGGGGAACTGTAGTTCTGGGGCACTTTGTGGATAAACCATTGCTGTGTGCTGAGGAATGTGGCCGCCTGGATGGTGACTGCGTGGGCTCCAACGTGCAAAGCAGCAATGTTTGTGTTAGGATGGA